TCATTAAAATTATTAAAAAAAAAGACAACATATATTGTGATAAGACATTGTCGTTAATTAATTAATTGCAATTCATGTTCTACAACAAAATGCATATGAATAATCAAAGGAAATTGTAATTACAATGTTATAAAACAAAATATGCATAAATGATCAAATGAAAAACCAGTATGATCTAGTGTCTCACTCAAAAAGAGTAAATAAATTTAAAAAATCTTTCCACAAAAAAAAAAAAAATTAAAAAATTCCGAAACTGCTATTTGTGTGTATGCGAAAATTTGTGGGGCAGTGAAGTAAGAAATAAATAGGCTTTGTTTGAACTTTGAAATTAGACCAGTGTTCTTCCCATTACTCGGATTATGCTGTTTACTAGAGAGATGGAAAGTTACCTAACCTCAGAGTTTACATTTTCTCCAGGTAAAACTGGAACACTAATATTTTTCCCCATTCTCACTACCATTCAACTGCATCATAGATGCCAGCATGAGGTGGAGTAAGTAGCATTACAGAGAGATTAAGAAACAAGGGATCTGAAACCAGTTATCAGACAGACACATATTTTCTCTCATACATTTTTCTTTCAATAAAATAAAGGTACACACAAAATCCACCAGATGCTCTGCTGGAGAAGGAGGAACAATCTCCTCCTGTACCAGTCAGATCTGATTTGACATACATCAAAAAAAAAAAAAAAGGTACACACAGAAAAGGGATGAACTATACAAAATGAGCAAGGTGGTTTTGTTTTTTTTTTTAATGAATCAAACTAAATTACAAATAATGTTCACACCAAAAGCACTTAAGAATAAGTCATGGAAAAAGAGACAGTCATAAAAAGAAAAAAAAAGCAACACTATTTTTTTTTAATATTCACATTACAAAACTCCAAGGTGCACATGGAAACTAATCTCCCGACAACCCCTCAATGACTTTAAAAACTGCTACAATCTGAAATATATATAATTGTTCATCCTTCTTTTAAAGAAATATTTTTCCCCAGTGTCCCTGCTCAATCACAGCCCTGAAAAAGTGTCAGCATTCTCAAAATGATAACTAAACCTTAATATCCATTCCTGGAGGGTAAGGGAGTAGCTTTCTGAGGAAAACTAGAGCAGGGGCCCCTGACAACCAACAAAACATAACAACCTTAAAAATGAGCAAAAATTAAAACATCTTTTACCTGTTTTATCAGGCTACAATGAAACAGTGGGCCTAGATTATACACAGACCCCATCCCAGAGCCTCCTAGATTTTTTTCTTGGTCACAGAAGGTGGCTGGGAGCAATCATTTCTACTGTAACTCCAGTAGAGTTAGTTACTAAATCCTCCTAGTCTGTTAGGTGAGGTGAACACTAAAACTAGGGTATAAATTGATTGGATCTATTTTTTAACCTAATTCCTTAAACCAGACACCTCTCTGTGTTTGTTTTTTTTTCTTGGTCTTCAAAAGTTCCAACTTAGTCCTTTGCTGTCAGTTGGCCTTACAAAAGCACTGGCAGCATGAGGCTTAGGGGCCCTGTCAACTCCCAGACACAGATAATAATATAACTGTGGGGCATTCAGAAATGACTTATAGATGGCAAACCCAATTGGGGTTGGTGTGGGGGTCTACTTTTGAAAACCAATCCCAGTTGGTTCTAAAATTCGTTAGGTTGGTAGAGGCTGTTTTAAGTGCATCTAACACTGAAACTCCCTTTCATTTCCATCTCTCCCTCCATTCCCTGTATCCTCAGAGCTGGCTGGCCAAGAGGGTAAGATGAGTGTTATGGCAGTCATACAAGATCAGAGGGGCCCACCTGAGTCCAAAAGAATCAGATTCAATCCTGGTCAGGCACACACTGGCAGAGAGGGTGAATTTGGGAGGTGGGATCTGGGAGGAGGACATCAGAGTCGAAGGTGGGGTACTGGTTTGGTCACATCCTGGAAGAAAGGGTGAGCCAGAGCCGCCTTTGCTGAAATGCGTTTGTTGGGGTCGTAGTGCAGCATTTGCTGGAGGGAGAGATAGATGTGTACTGATTTCAGATGATGTAATAGTGGACTGGGTTGGCAGTAAGTGTTCAGAGAAATTAAGAACCAAAATTCATTTTCCCTAAGGCAAAGTTTCCATTTCCTTCCTCCCATATCCAAACCTTCTCAGGATGCTGAAAGGGGTGAAGGGAATATTAAGAACCAGAGTCTAGGGTCTCATCCTTCCTTCACAATAGAAAAACTCTGACATGGGGAAGAAAATGAAAAAAAAAAAAAGGTTCTCAACTCCCACTCTCACCGATAACAAGCTCCGTCCATCTTCATCCAGAGGAGGCACAACTTTGCTAAAATCTTGCCGGGCCCACTTGGGGAAACTCGCCTTATAATCAGGCATAGAAGTAACTCCTGGCCAAACGGTCTCATCTGGAGTGCCCAGAGTTCGAAAGATCCGGAAAAGTTGGTCAATTTCAGAATCGCCAGGAAATAGGGCCCGACGGGTCACCTGAGGATGAGGAGAGGAAAAACCAAATCCCACTGAGAACAGTTAAAACTGCCCCATATACAAGGAACGTTCCCACAGGCATTGGAAGATCAGCAGGGCCCCATGACTCTCCCCCACCCAGGGCCTTTCATGGGGTCAGTCACACAGAGCCTGAGACAATGAAGTCCCTTTATCTGTCTTTTTACCCTCATCTTCCTTCCCCCAAGTACGGTTTTGCAGATCCCCAAGGCTGAATGGGGCTAGGAGGGGGTGAATGTCTAGGGTGCCACTGACACATAGCAAAGGGATCGCAAGCCACTCACGGGGTATGGGGTAGACACTGCAGTCATCCCCCCTCCTTGTGATGCAGCCACTTCTAGATAGGAGCACAGCGGGCAGAGACTGTGTCTTCCATTTCTTCTGTGTTCCCCACAGCACTTAGCATGGTGCTGGGTACACACTAGGTGCTTAACAAATATTTTTTGATGAATTGAGAGAGGAATACTGGCAATTTTAAGGTAATGCACTAGGGGGAAGTGTACTATATATGTATATATGCTAATGATCTATAAGCCCTCAGTTATAACCCAGACTAAGGACCAAAAAAAGAGATTCCTGATTTGATAACTCAGCCCACTTTACTGTTGTATTAAAGAGAGTGGGTGCTCCCACATTAGGCTGGGCCTCCGTGATTCTTCAATCTGAAAAACTAGAGACAGAGGGTAAATGACCTGAATTTGCAGTTTCAATTAAAAGTGTAGATGAGGTGGACACAGTGGGCTTTACCACATTCCTGAGCTTTTGGGATAAGAGATGTATACCGGGATGATGAGGCTGTTCTGAGATAATCTAATATTGTGGTTGATATCAGGGCAACTGTCCCATCTAGCCCTCTCCTCCTTGGAATTACTCTACACAAATCCCTAGAAGGGATAAAAGGACTGCAAATTCTCAACACTTAGTTCTGTTCTTAGAGGCAGAGAGGAGTGAATTAGGTGGAACCTGGCATACCTACATACCATCTCTGCAAAAATGCAGCCCAGGCTCCAGATGTCTACAGCTGTGGAGTAGTATTTGCATCCCAGAAGGATTTCAGGTGCCCGATACCAAAGGGTGACTACCTGGAAGGGGGAAGGGACACAAGAATAGAAAGAGAAAGGGTAGAAATTCTCATCTTTCTTTGCTTTACCTACTCTCAGCTTCCTACCCTCTGGCTTCCCTGAGGTAGGATTTCTTCGCCCAGTGGGAGCCTAATTCATGGTTCTAAAGATAATATTATACAAATTCCAAATGTAAGAACTTTCTGGAAAATCTGAGACAGTCATAATTTAATGGTGTTTAGCCTTCTCAGCTTGGTATCTATCTAAGCCCAGTTAGACCCACAAGTGAATTTCGTGCATACACTAAAATTTCTTGGGGGTACTGGAGATTATTTCCAACAACTGAGAGAAATTCCTGGGCATTTTTTAGCAGTTTTATGGATATCCTCATGACCATCTCTTTGGAGCTAATAGAAGAAAAGCATCAAATGGACTCACCTCATGGGTGTAGGTACGAACAGGGACTCCAAAGGCTCTGGCTAGTCCAAAGTCAGCAAGTTTGATGGCTCCATCTGCATTGATAAGCAGATTCTGTGGTTTGAGGTCTCGGTGTAGAACCCGATGAGAATGGCAGAAAGCTAGGCCCTGGAGCAGCTGGAACAGATAGCTCTGACAAAGGAGAAAAGGCAAGGACTATTTCTCCAATTCAATGATTCTGTATGTCCTGTGCCCCTAAAGCTCTTACTTATGTTGAATTAGAATTAAATGCTTGTGTGTGTGTGTTGTTAGTTTGTGACTTTGAAGAGACCTCTCATTTGTTAGAGGAGAATTGCTCTAAAGGGTTTTCTTGGCTGTGATCTTTATGAAAGCAGTTTACCAGACCTAGTCCACAGTGCCAAGGTTCAAAGTGCCAATCTTTTCATTACCAGCTGAATGCATACCATTTCCAACACCCAGGAATCTTTGGTTTAGCATTACATATTATAAGCTATTTCTCTCACTGGACTGTAAGTCCAGTGAAGATAGGGATGAGATTTTATTCAGTTTTTCATTCCTTTTCCATATTACAAGCCTAGCACATTGAAGGTACCCAATAAATACTCATTGACTAAAACCAAAACCCAAACCAGTTGCTGTCAAGTTGATTCTGCTCACGGCGCCCTCATTTGTTTCAGAGTAGAACTGCACATAGACTGTGCCCTTTTGAGAGCTCTGCGGGCTAGTCCCTGAGGAGTTGTGCTGCTAACTCAAAGGCCACAGAATCTGCTTTTCAGTGCAGATGGTGCCACCCAATGTGTACGTATGAAGCCCAATGGAAGGTCGGCTAAGTGCCAGTTCTTACTCGACAGCAATGAGAAGTGGAGAAAGATTACCTCTTGCAAGTAAATCACCAAGAATTTCTTCGTAGGTACCTCTTGAGTGGCTTCTAATCACCAATATTTGGGTAGTAGCCAAACTCTTAATACTTAGTGCCCCCCAAGGTCTCCCTCCATGCACTATTGAATAAATAGTTGTTTATTCAGTTAAAAGTCATTCAAGGGGTAGAGAATAAAGTTTTAAACAAAAAACTCAATGGCTATTTCTCCCATGTAAGAAACAGGTGAAAAGGATTTTGAAGGAACCTACAAAGTGATCTGAAATCTAATTTATCTGTTTCATCTTCTCTCCCACCTGCGCTGCTAAACTGACTCACTAGAGTTTGAACTTCTTTGATTCTCCTGCCCAACCTTAGGGTTAATGAGTATAATGAGCAGAGAAAGAGCCACAAAAGAGGGTGGGGGTGGGGGTGTGCATAGGGAATAAAAGCTGTGAAAGGAGCCAAGATCATCACTCAATCTTTATTGTCTACCTCCAGTCTCCCTAAAAAGAGAGCTCTGGTGTGGCGGCTTAGTGGTAAAGACTTGGCGGCCAACATAAAGACACAAGGTTCAAATCACCAGCTGCTCCTCAGGAAAAAGATGGGCAATCTCCTCCCATGCGATTTGTTTTTGTTATGACCTGTTGAGTACCCTTAGCTGATCCTCCAGTGGGTTTTCAGAGGCAGTAAATCACACAGGAGGAAACTGCCCATATCTCCTGTGGAGCAGCTGGTGGATTAAAACTTCATACCTTTGCATTGGCAGCTGGTGGATTCAAATCTCATATTTTGTGTTTGGCTGAGTGATCAACTATGAGTCATTTTTGATTCTTCAGTGGTACACAACAAGAAGTCCCCCGAAAACATGGTCATCCTCAGGAGGAGTTGATGAGAAGGATTACCTTGATCAGGGGAAGAGGAATACCAGTGAGGGTAGAAGCATCCATAAATTTCTTAAGATCCTGGTGCAGAAACTCAAAAACTAGGTAGAGTTTGTTTTCTGTATGGATGACATCCAGCAGCCTAGGGAAGGGAGATGCAGGGTAAAGGTGAGAGGGAGAAATGGCCTACAAAGACAAAGCTGAACTCTTGTCATCAAGCTACCTACCCCCTAGATATACTTACTTGACAATATTAGGGTGGTTAAGCTCCTTAAGCAGAGAAATTTCTCGGATGGCAGTACTGGGTACACCCTCTGTCTCACTTGCAGGGGTTGGGAGAACAAAGATGGACATTTGGTTACAAATATTCCTTTTCTCCACCCCAGTCGTTCCTTTTCCTCAAAGGAAGAACCACCCAAGGAGAGAGAGGGAAGAGAAAATATACCCGAGGAGTCAATTCCTGAGTGGAACAGGGAATAGTAGATTTTGGACTCATTAAGGTCATCATTTTCTCTTAACCAGAGGTGTTTAAAGTGAGGTTACCCAATGTAGTTCAGAAACAAGGCAACAGAAAAAAAAAAAAAGAGGGAGCAGCACCCAGCCTCCCCAGAGCAGCCAGTGAAGTTCAACTGTCATTCTTTTCAAAGGGAGAGAATTCTAAAATGAGGGTGGAGTTGGGGCAGAGAAGAGGGCTCCTCTTTCAGAGAGGTACTCTTCCCTGGTTCCAGGAAATCCATATTAAGGGAGTCCCAGAGGCCTCGTTCCTCTACTTCAATCTGTCTGATTGCCTATTGCAGACACCGCTCGGGCTCAGTTTGGAGAAGTTTTCCGTGGATTCTAACCTACACTACATTTGCCGCGAGGAAACTGCAGTTTGACCCCTCGCCCACCTCCCCACTGGAAAACAAGTCCCTCCCTACTACCTTCCGGTCCCTGGACGGCAACCCGCCCACGGAGGGGGCACCAAACAGAGTCCCCCGTTACAAGCACTGAAGCCACTCACGTGTCCAAGCGGATTTTCTTAAGTGCTACCACCTCTCCCGTCAGCTTGTTTTTGGCTTTGTACACAACTCCGTACGTCCCCTCTCCGATCTTTTCCACCTTTTGGAAGTTCTCCATGAAGCGCGCTGGCGAGTCGGGGCAGCCCGGCCCCGGACGTGGGGCCTGGGAACCCTGCAGAAAGAGGGCCCCGACTCAGAGCTGGGGAGGAGGAAGAGACTCCGCCCGGCACCCAGGCCCTAGGTCGGGTTGGAATGCAGCGGATTGCTGTCTCTAGTCGATTTGTCCAACTTGAAACAATGTTACCGTCCCCTCCAGTTCCCGACCGCCGCCCGAGGCCCCGCCCCTTCTTCCCGCGTTTCCCTGGCCCCGCCCACGGCCTTTCCTATTGGCGCACGTCAGAGCGGCGGTGACAAGCCGGGCGCCTGCTGAAGCTCCCGCCAGTGGCCCAGCCCCTCCCAAGTCTGACCTGAAGGCGGCTTAAGTTTCTGCCTTAGTGGCGCGGCTGTTCAATACTTTTTTCCCCTCGAAGTACCTGATTTAGACTTGCGTTTTCGGCCAATGCACAAACTCTGTTGAGATTAGTTCATTACCCCTGCAGATACTGTGCATCGACTTAAAATTCCACCTGGCCCTAGGAGCCACCTTTGAAAATCTGGAAGATGGGAATATTAAACATTCTGAGGAACTCCTGGGCCTCAGAGACATGACTTCTGTCTCAGTCCACCCAACTACTGACTCTTTGCTTGGAGGCAGGATCTCTGTTTCTTTTTGAGAAGTTCTTGCTTTGACTCAAAACAACTAATTCACTCTTCCATGATGAAGAGTGTCTTGAGGGGTAGATGTCTAGGCAGCCTTACCTTAGAGAAGGGGGACGGAGTTTGTCAAAGTGTAAAGGAGAAACCGTCATTGCGTAGAGGGATGGGGAGTGTCCAGGAACCAGAAATCTTTGTTAAAGCAGCCTCTTCAGTCCCCTGGTCCCTCCCAAACTGAAGAGAGGAAGGGCTATGCAAATGAACTCCCCTTTATTATATAGAGGTTTGTCTCAGCCCCCTGGCTTCTTTGGTTGCTAGAAGGGAGGCCAGAATGCATCCAGTGCTGAGAAGGTGTATCCTTCATGTGACTCTGATGGGTGTCCTGCTGGCTCTGGCGGCCACAGAAGGTGAGTGTGGGTGCAGTTTGGGGGTTGAACACCTACTCTGTTTTTTTGCAGCTTGCCATGTCTGCTAAACTAAATGGTGGTTGGAACCTACTTAGTGACCATGGAAGAAGCAAGCTGCTTCTTTAGAGATTATAGCCAAGAAAATCCTTTGGAACTCTTCTACTCTAACTAAAACAAACTGACAAAACTTGTTGATTCTGACTTTGAGTGACCCTAAAGGACAGAGTAGAACCGTTCCATACAAGGCTATAATTCTTTACAGAAGTAGTCGGCCACATCTTTTCACACACAACGACTAGGGAAAACCTTTCCATTAGCCTCTGAGATTATCCACTGTATCTTCAGGGATCGATATAACACATGGGGTCAGCTCATCTGCATTGGTTTGATTTTTATAACTGGAGATACCAGCTCCCCCAGGCAAGGCTTCAGGCTACTCCTACACTTCTGATTTAGTGAGAGACTGGGCCTCTGAGCTGCTCTCCCCTCACCAAGACTTGAGATTGAGTTAGGAGGGGCAAAGTGGGTCTCTGTGGCCATAGTTCTGAGATCCCCATAGGAGCTTTAAAGGGTGAAATGGATAAGAGACTTTCTAGGTGACACCTTGGGCACTTGAAATGGGAGATTTAGAGTAAGGAGTAGGAGAATGTTGTATTGGAAAAGAAGGCTAAGTTTGAACAACCTTGCTCCACTTGGGATGGAAGTGGGTGAACATATAGCCTAGACCTTTTGTTCTGGTCTGAGACAGACAGGCAGAGGGGTCTCAGCTGAGCATCACATGAAAGGGCTCTGGGGGATTGAAGCCTCGTGACAGGAGTTAGGGGTGGGGTTGGAGGTGGTGAGAGGGTCTGGGGGATTGAAGCCTCGTGACAGGAGTAAGGGGTGGGGTTGGAAGTGGCAAGAGGGTCTGGACTGTCCCGTGCTGCACTAAGAAGGGAGGGCTGGGAATGTAGAAAGAATGGGGTGTCTCATGACTTTGCTTACTCTAATGATGTGATGTTCAATGTGATGGTTTCAGATCCTCCCCATCAAAGAACCAATTAGATTTCCAGTAGACTGGAGAAAATGACTGGCATAGTTTCTGCCATACTGAAATACACATATCATATTTCAGTCCTCATGTCTCTAGATTCCTGGGCTCACACATTTCTAGGAAGATTTCTATCATCTGACTTTCCTCGTGTGTGCTTCAACCTCTAAATCCTTTCCTTCTCTGATTTTCCCCAGTGCAGCCCTTTCTTGAAACATTCTGTGTATACCTGGCCACTTGGGACTCTTGAAAAATTGTGCTTACTTTTTTGATAATTATCTTAAAAATCATAATAAAATATTTTAATAATATTCATGACAGTTTTACATGGAATGGGTTTGGCCATTTTGTATATGATCACTCACTGCTCAATGCAGGAAAACATTAATATTTTACAGATACATAATGAATCTGTACATTTCCGATAACAAATAGTCTGGCATCTGCTTTTAAATGCTTTAGTGAAATAAACAAGCAAAAGAGGATAAATCAAATGTAGCAAAATGTTGATGGTTTTCAGATCTAGGTGAGGGCATATGGATTTCATTAGATTCTTTTTCTCACATTTCTCTCTTGGTTAGGCAAATCATTTTCTGTCTTCTCTATCCCCATGTTTAGCCTCTTCCTAACTGATTTATCTTTCTCTTAGTTTGTTACAATTATTTTTTTAAAACACAAATCTGATCTGAGTTCAGAAGCTTCTGAAGGGTGATTTTTTTATGGCATGTGACTTAATAATATCTCAATTAAAAACAAATACCATCTGAGGTGAATCAGCCTACAAGGTAAAGAGCAAACTCCTTAGGCTGGTACTTAGCCTTGCCTCTCACAGAGTTCCTCATCCACATTACTATTCTCCAGGAAGATGAAGCATTCCTCACTTACTTCCATGCTACCATGTGTTGGCCAATGCTGGTCCTTCTTCTGGAATACTTCATCTGCCAGGCTCAATACTAATTCATACTTCACCAAAATAAAATTAATCTATTTAGTCTGCATTTCATTTGACTTCATATATATCTAGTGTACCACATGTGTTAAACAGCACCCTGAATTATATAGCTAGTACTGGTTGTATGTGATTGAACACATGACTGCTAATTTGCGACTGAACCCACCAAACTGCTCTGCAAGAGAAAGATGTTGCAGTCCGCTTGCTAACAACCAAGAACCCTGGAAACTCTATGGGGTTATTCTATTCTGTCTTACAGATTATTAGTTATATGTCCTATAGGTTAGGAGCTCTGGTAGCCTAATGGTAAGAAGCTGCCCTGCAATCCCAAAGGCATGCGGTTTGAATCCACTGGGTGCTCTGCAGGAGAAAGATGGGCAATCTCCTCCCTCACAGTTAACTGCCTTTGAGAACCCTCTGGAGGAGCAGCACGGGTTGGTTCTGATGCAATGGTACACTACAACAACACAGGTTATATAGGTAACTCTGATGGCTTAGTGGTAAGGCATTATGCTTCCAACCCAAAGGTTGGTAGTTCAAATCCACTAACTACCGAGAGAGAGAGAAATGAGCAGTCTCCTCCTGTGTGATTTACTGCCTGTAAAAACCCACTGTAAGGTCAGCTATGAATTGGTTCTCGCTGGAAGGTAGACAACAACAAAGAACTTATATAGTTATTTTGTATATATCTATTTCCTGTACTTCATCTTGATTCCTTCTAGGACCTCTCACATTAACGCTGCAGGTTCAAGTCATATATATTCCCTAATTTCTTTCTACGTATCACAGTGCCTGGTGCTGATAGGTATTCAGTAAATGAAAGTACACTTCATATGTGAGAATGAGTGGAGTGACGTGAGGTAGAATGTTACCTTCTGAAAAGGGACTGAGTATGACCTGGTGGCCCTCTTGGTTTATTCCTCTTAGAACCCAGAGAGCGGGATTGGCTGGATGTCTCGAGGCAGCTCAGGACCAAAGTCTGGAACAGGAAACTATATCCAGAGTGGACAGAAGTCCAGGGGTCAGACTGCTGGAAAGGTAAGGATGTGGCAGTTCAGGGGTAGGAGGAAGCACTGGGAAGAGGAGGAAGAACTGGACTGAATCTCGCTTGGGAATGTAAGGAAGGAGAAGATGTATGGGGAAGCTGAGAGTCCTAACTAATACAGCTTCTCTACCCAGGTGGCCAGGTGGCCCTGAAGGTCAGCAATGATGGGCCCACCCTGATCGGGGCAAATGCCTCCTTCTCTACTGCCCTGCACTTCCCTGAAAGCCAAAGGGTGATGCTGGACGGGCAAGTCATCTGGGCCAACAATGCCACTGTCAATGGTGAGTACCCCTCCATTTCAGTCTCTCACCTCTATGGTTCACATTCCCTAGGTCCCTAGAGCTTGGAGAATGTGTGTCCTCCTCTATTTTTTCACAAATTATACTTGTGATATAAGGAAGCGCTAGTGGCCCAGTAGTAAGAAACTGCACTGCAGTCCCAAAGGCATTCAGTTTGAATCCGCCAGCTGCTCCACAGGAAAAGGACGGGCATTCTCCTCTCATGCGATTAACTGACTCTGAAAACCCATCAGAAGGTCAGCGATGGGTTGGTTCCGACTTGATGTTACTCGACAACACAACAATATTGTATTATAGTAAAATTAGAAAACCAAAAAGAAAAGTCAACAATCCTGAAGACAGCCGGCAGAATCTAGCGAACCTAGAAATTGGATAGATCTGGATTTATACTTGTTACTAGAGTATAATCCTAGGCTAGTTACTTAATCATTTTGTGCCACCATTCTCTTCACCTTAAAATGGGATTAAAATTCTGTAATAAATAAAATGTGTATATTACACAGTGCTTGCTCTTGCCTACAGTAAAGGCTCAATAAACGTTAACTGGTGCTAGGTTGTTTGAATGTTGTTTTATTTTTAAATCCTATTTGCTGGAGGGAAGGAATTGTGGTGGCATAGGCCCAAGCATTTTGTGCCACTATTGAAAGGCCTTGGGTTTCCCATGGTTTGAATTCACTGCTGCCTCCAAGGGAGAAAGTCTCTACAGTCTCCTCCTGTTTAGATCTGCAGGCTTGGAAACCTGATAGTCACTATGAGTTGGAACCGACTCAGTGGCAGTATATAGTTTGAGCTAGAGGAAGCCATTCTAAACATCTTGATAGTCTTCCAGCTTCCAGATTTGTTTGTTGTTTTTTTTTTTCCTATACAAGTATATACTCAGGGTTGGGGTTTGGTGTTTTTTTTTTTTTTTTGGTTTTTTTTTTTTTTAGGGTTTTTTAATTATGCTTTTCATTCACTCTCACTACCACCTCAAGATGGTACTTCCCTTGCTTTGCTGTTCAGAGGGTTGCTACGGGTTGTACTTGACTCAGTGGTACCTAACAATAACAGCAACAATTACCTCAAGTGGGTAGGGGAGCTCTGGTGGCCTAGTGGCAAGAAACTGCGCTGCAATCCCAGAGGAACACGGTTCGAATCCACCAGATGCTCTGCCGGAGAAGGAGGCGCAATATCCTCCTGTACCAGTCAGATCTGATTTGACGGTACATGCACACAAAAAAAAAAAAAAAAACCAATTACCTCAAGTGGGTTATAGTATGTTGTTGTTAAGTGCCATTAAGTCGTAGGCGACTCATAGCAACCCTATGAATGAAAGACCTGAACATTTGTATAACTTTCTTCGTTTCTCCAAGTTCATAGGGTTTCCAGAGGCAAGCTATTTCGAAAGTGGATGCCACTCCTGCTTCTAAGCCTGTTTTAACCAGGGAGCTCCATCAAACACTGTCCACCATGGGTGACCAAAATTGCATTTGGCACATCAGAGTCACAGTGTTCAGCATTACAGCAACCATGAGTTACCTCTGTACAGCAAATCGACAGACCGGTGCTATACCACCTAGAAGAATGTTTGACCAAAAACAATTAAAAGCAGACCTGAGGGATGCATATTAAAATCAATTTCTGTCCATTAGGCCAACTATAGAAAATGTATTTTCTAGGTACCAAAAATGTACTTTCTAAAGCTCCTCGCTGAACCTCAAGAAGCTCATGTCAGGGTTTTGGCTTATGGAAAAATATGCCATTGTTTGAAGGTGACTATATATCTACCTCTCAGGGAGCCGGGTATGGGAAGGACAGCCAGTATATCACCAGGATCCTAATGATACCTGCATCTTTCCTGATGGTGGACCCTGCCCATATGTCTCACGGTCTCCGAGGAGAAGCTTTGTTTATGTTTGGAAGACCTGGGGTAAGGGACTCCTGGAGTATCTATCACCCATGCTTGGATTCACCTCTTTTTGTTTGGTCATCTTTCTTTTTTTTTTTACCTTACCTCTGAATGTCTGTGATTTCTCCTGATCTTCATTCCTCCCTGACTCCCTTTTCTTCTACAGCACTTGTCCTTTAAACTCTATCATAGTTCTTTCTGAGAGTTCTTCTCTAATTATAGTACCACCCTGTGGAACCTCTCATTAGGATCATTCCCTGCCCCTACATCATATTATTGTTATGTGCCAAATCGCTTTCAAGTCAGTGACCCTAAACAGCCCTAAACCCTGCTCTATCCCATGCCAAGCTTACTGTCTTCGACACAGCTCCTCCCATTACCCTAGTCACTGAGTCAATCAATCCACCTCATTGAGAGTCTTCCTCCCCTGCACTGTCCCTCCACCCTCCCAAGCATGACATCCCTCTCCAAGGACTGATCCCACCTTGCAACATGTCCAAAGTACGTCAGACAAAGCTTCAGATAGCCTTTCAAATATCCTCTGAAACGACCATCTTCAACCCACTTCCTGACTTCCCCTCTCAAGTGTCCCTTCTATAATTCTGCCCTTCACTCTCCTGTGACCGATAACTTTTGTTATCCCTATTTTTCCTTCCAAAACCCTCAGGTCAATACTGGCAAGTTCTGGGAGGCCCTGTGTCAGGGCTGAGCATTGGCACAGGCAGAGCAGTGCTGGGCACACATACCATGGAAGTGACTGTCTACCACCGCCGGGGGCCCCGGAGCTACGTGCCGCTCGCACACTCCCGCACATCCTTTACCATCACTGGTAAGAGCATAGGAAGGAACAAGGCCAGTCTTGGGGCAGGAGGTAGAGAGGATTGACTGGATGGGAAAGAGAAAATGTACAAGTTTAAAGGGACAGAGCCAGGAAGAAAAGGGCAAAGGAATGTAGGGCTTCAAGCCAGTGAAAGTTTCAACTAGTCTGCTTGGGGTTGAAAGGTATGGCTGTGAAATAAACTTCTTACCTTTCTTCTAATTCTTACCTTTCTGGCTCCCATCCCAGACCAGGTTCCCTTCTCTGTGAGTGTATCCCAGCTGCAGGACTTGGATGGAGGAAACAAGCAGTTCCTGAGAAATCAGCCTCTGACCTTTGCCCTTCAACTCCATGACCCCAGTGGCTATTTGGCTGGGGCTGATCTCTCCTACACCTGGGACTTTGGAGACAACAGTGGGACCCTGATTTCTCGGGCACTTGAGGTCACTCACACTTACCGAGAAGCTGGCCCCATCACTGCCCAAGTAGTGCTCCAGGCAGCCATTCCCCTTACCTCCTGTGGCTCCTCCCCAGTTCCAGGCACTACAGATGGGTACATGCCAACTACAGAGGTCCCAGCCACCACAGCAGGGCAGATGCCTACTGCAGAAGTTGGAAGCACTACACCTGGCCAGGTGCCAACTGAAGATCCCTCTGGTACCACAGCTCTGCCAACCACAGAAGTCACTGGTACCACATCTGGACAGGGGCCAACCTCAGTGGTAGTAGGTACCACTTCTGCAGAGATTCCAACCAAAGAGACCACAGACACCACACCTACAGAGGTGTTAACTACAGAAGTCAAAGGTGTCACATCTGTAGAGGTGTCAGCAGCACAGCCTTCTGAAACCACAGCTGCACAGGTCACACTAACAACTACAGAGTTGATGGAGACCTCACCTGGAGAGGGAGTCGGCACTGAGCCTGAAGGTCCAGATGCCAGCCCATTCATACCTACAGAAAGTACTACAGGTAAAAGGACAGTGAGAATGACAGTCATTGAAGTGGGGCATTCGTCACCACCCTAAAGGGTAAAAAGTCATGCACACAACCCACGTATTACCCAGTCCTCTGATTAGCACTGTGTTTCTCTCAACTTTGACTGGCTTTGAAACACTCAAGTCCCTCACAATGAAATGGAATAAATCTAGAATTCAGGAAGGTTCTTCCCCTAGGCCATGAGGAGGCAGCTTGTTTCTTCCTTACTCCTTAAGGATGTTGGAAGACCAAGGAATAGACTGTGATTATTTATGTAATGTTTATCTCTCATTTTCCATCCAAACATAAATGTGCAGAAATCTTTCCCAGATTCTGACACCCTGTCCCACTCCTGTATTCCCATCCCAAAGCAGTTCAGCCTGGAATTATGGTAAGAACACTGAAGAAAGGAGATAAGCTAACCCAGAACCATCAAGTTGACATTAGTTCATAGAAATCCTGTAAAACAAAGTAGAATAGCTCCAGAGTTTCCAAAGTGTAAATCTTTATGGAAGCATCTTTCTCTTCAAAGCACCTGGTGGTATTGGGTATGTAGCCCAGTGCTTAATTCATAGCACCACCAGGGCTCCTAAAAAATGAATTGTTGCTGTTTTGTGCCATTTAGTCAAAACCGACTCATAACTGACTGCCCTACAGATTTTCAGAGCCAGTAAATCCCGTGGGAGGAGATTGCCTATCCTCCCATGGAACAGCTAGTGGATCAAAACCTGTGTGCCTTTAGGCTTTTAGCAAACCTTCTTACCACTAGGCCACCAGAGCTCTCTCAAAAATGAGACAGTGAAAGTTATGTCTGTGGACACATTGCTGTGGTCTGGCACAGGACCTTGCATGGCATATGGTTTGACAAACATCTGGGGATTTCTGATATTCCAGCTCTATCACTGGATAGCTTTAAACTCACTGCCACCAAGTCAATTCGAGCTCATTGAAACCCTCCATTGGGGTTTCTACGGCAGTAAATCTTAAAGGAGGAGACTGCCCATCATTCTCCGGTGGAGCTGCTCAGCCTTTTGGTTAACAGCACAAAATGCTACCAACTTTGCCACCAGGGCTCTTGAGTAAAGTGATGTTCTCTGGCCCTCAATATCCTTGTCTGTAAAATGAGATTTCCCAGGTATTCCTAGATCCAGTAGCTCTGGCCCTACAAGGAAAATATCTTCTTGGATTCTACCTCCGGGCAAGTAACCTCTCTCTTGACTTTGTCTCCTCCCTTTTCTCCTGTCAGGCTCTGTGAGTTCCATGCTGGATGACACAGCTACTTTAATCCTGGTCAAGCGGCAAGTCCCCCTGGATTGTGTTCTGTATCGATATGGCTCCTATTCTCTCACCCTGGACATTGTCCGTGAGTCTTGTCTACATTTTGAGATGAGGGAGGAGGCATGTACTGCGGAGGGCTTGTCAGTGAAAGCATACCTTGGGAAAGTTCCTCACCTGGATAGGAAGACAATCCAGATGACAATGCCTTCAACTGAAGGCATTGGGATTGGGCTGGAGGAGCTATTCTAGGTTTTCCTGTCTCTGGGTCTTGGAGAAGAGACAGCAAGAGTCCTAACTTTTAAATCTTGCAACTTTGCAGAGGGTATTGAGAGTGCTGAGATTCTGCAGGCTGTGCCGTCCAGTGAAGGGGATGCATTTGAGTTGACTGTGTCCTGCCAAGGCGGGTGAGTACCATTGGTTGGTTGGGGATCTTGGGTTGACTGTTGCCCTGCTTTTTGGGGTCTGGAGTCCCTTCCCATACCCTCTGATGTATCTCTCAGGCTGCCAGAGGAAGCTTGTTTGGACATCTCATCACCAGGGTGCCAGCCCCCTGCCCAGAGGCTATGCCAACCTGTCCCACCCAGCCCAGTCTGCCAACTGGTTCTGCATCAGGTACTAACAGGAGGCTCAGGGATCTACTGTCTCAATGTGTCCTTAGCTGATGCCAACAGCCTGGCAATGGTCAGCACCCAGCTCGTCATGCCTGGTAAGTGCTTGGATAAAAGCTAGGATGCAGAAGGCAATGGGCAGAGGCCAGTTGGTAGGTAGCAGATGCTGACTGAAGCACTGCCTGGGATCTTGTTATAATAGGTCAAGAAGCAGGCCTATGGCAGTCTCCCCTGTTCGTGGGCATTTTGCTGGTATTGATGGCTGTGGTGCTTTCATCTCTGATATACAGGTGAGGTCTTCACCATTCAGCTTCTTTTAGGGAATATCATGTCCAAGAAAGACTTGGAAGTTCGACAGGTCCCTATGGGATCTTGGGCAAGTAGCTTCACCTCTCTGAAGCCTATTTCCTCATTCAAAAATCAGGAAACGTAGTACTTGCTATGCAGAGTTGTTACAAGGACTAGGATCATTGTGGGTCAAGCACCTGACTTTGTAGCCAGAGCACAATCAATGATATTGATGACTGTTATTAAGAATACTAAAAATGGAAGAGTGAGGTGAACTAAGGTTCTGAAGGGCAGCTCTCCAGGCTTGTGTTATCCCAGGTCCTCAAAGCAAGGAAGCTTGCATAGTGATGGGAGATAGACAGAATTTACCCCAGAAGCAAGAGAATGACCTTTGATGGCTGTGTCCCCTTTGTAAAAACACAGACTGGGTGCCCTTGCTGATTGCTAAACAGTTTACCCCTTTTTCTCTCAATATCAGGCAAAGACTTAAGAAGCAGGGCTCCACTCTCCCTAGCCCCCAACTGCCTCATGGTGCCATCCACTGGCTGCGTCTACCCCGGGTCTTCCGCCCTTGCTCCGTTGGCGAGAGCAGCCCCCTTCTCAGTGGGCAGCAGGTCTGAGTCCTCTCATGTGATGCCATCCTTTACTTGGGGTTGGCAACAACTGCTATCTTTTCTCCAATCTCCCCTTGGAGACTATTATCACTTGAATTAAATACTCAGAAGTTGATGTGGGGTTTTTGTGTTTGGTTTTGTTTTCTTGCTTCTTAGAGGTATCTATGTCACAAAAGGAGTAGAGATGTGAAAGGAGTTATGCAATTTAAGTATTAACAGCTATCCAGTGGAAAAAGAGTCATTTTATTCAGATGAGGCACTTTCAATGTATGTGTTTGGGGGGTGTGTGTGTGTGTGTGTGTGTGTGTGTGTGTGTGGGCGTGCACACGCACGTATCTGCGTATGTACACGTGTATGGAAGTAGTAGAGGTGATGCAGGACAATAAATACTGTGAGGATGAAAGAATACTCTCCTGAGCTGGCAGAAGAGTGTGGCAGCAATATACAGAGCCTGTGGTTTGAAGTCCATCAATGAGGAGGTGGTTCAAGGCTGGCTTGGAGGCTGAGGCCATCCTTAGCACAAGAAGCCAAAGAAATTGGAAGAGCGAGGAGGTGGGCCCATGAGCATAGGCATCTGGTTCTTGTGGGTAATCTTGATCTGGAAGAGAAGAAGGCTCATTCAGAAGCAGGGACTTAGGGTTGGAACAGCGGAGGTTTTCGAAAAATTTGTGAGACTTGGGTAGGTGGCTGGGGTCTTGGAGAGGCCGAGGTAGGAAGGTTGTGGGATCAGAAATCAGTATCTGGGAAGAATGGTGCACAGGGAACTTGGGTATTAGGAATAAGTAGAAACTGTTAAATGGGATAGACTTATGGTCCATAGAGCCTGAGGTCCAGTTCCTGGCAGGCAGGGGTAGTACTCACTGTACAGGGAGACTGCATCCAGGGCTCTCCATCAATTTGCATGGGAAGGGTTTTCGTGGTGCTGTGGGAGGACAAGGCAGTTTGGCAGAGATTCCTTTACCAACCAAACACCAAAACTCTTAGTGCTTTGGGACCCTTTGTTTCTGAGGAAGATCTAGTTAGGCCTTTCCCACCATTTCCATAACCCTTCTGCCCTTACCCTCCCCTCTCCCTCTGCCTCGACCCAGAATTTGACTTACTGGAAGGTAATCTCAGAGCACTTGGCCAGCCGATGTCCCGCACTCTTGAGTTTGGTATAGATCTGGCCCATCTCAATTGCACCCTCCAGCCCTACGACTTCTAGCCGCTTGTCACTTAGATCTGGAAATGGGAGGTAGGAAAAGAAGCTTTACAGAAGTACCCATCCAAACCCACCCAAACAAAAACCACTAAAACTATTGCTACTACGTTGATTCTGACATAGTGACCCTTTATTGTCAATCTTTATGGGAGGGGATTGATCATCTTTCTGCCTAGGAAGGGTTGATAGATTAGAAGCACACACTTTTCAGTTTGCAGTCTTGATATGTATATACTATGCCACCAGGGCTTCTTTCACAAAAGCAGGATATCTTCAACGGGAGTCAAGTCCTCCTCTTAGTTTTCAAGGCTGCTCCCCTTACCTGGTACACAGGTTTTCAGGATATCAGGGTCAGTGATGACTTTAGCTGTAGCACCAAGGGCTTGGTTGATATGGCTATCACCATAGGGCCTCTTGGTATCACCCCAGAGGTTGGAGCCACCATGCATGCTAGGGATGTTCAGCACTGCAATGCCTTCTAGGGATAAGCTGCTCAAATCTAGGGGTTTCCCACAAATCTGAGGAGAAGAGGAAACAGCCCTTAGTTATAGAGGTCACAGATCACCTCAGGGCATAATCATAGTTTTGAGTTCTCTCTCTACCAGAGGACTGAGAAAGCCAGGATTTGGTGGGTTGCAAGGGGTAGAGGGAAATAGGAACTGGGTTATCTTGAGGACTTGGAAAAGAAGAATTAGAAGGTTGAAAGATCAAAGTATAGATTTAAAAATATGGAGGTGGGAAAATTTGGGTATAAGAAGCTTAAAAATATGTTAATTAGGTTGTATTATACATACCTCAACTGTCAAAGATTCCTCTAGCTTTTTGCAAGTTGAGAAGATGGATTCAGATGTGGCAAATTCAAAGTACCATAGCTTGTTCTTCATTCTGTCAGCCCCACCACATGACCCAGGAGGCAGGAGACAGGTTACGCCATGCATGAGGGGTTGAATTAGGTGACAGGGAAAGGCATTAACCTCCCGACACAAGTTGCATGGGGAACCAGGGTAACTTGGTTGGGAGTAGAGGGTTTACTGCCCATTTAGGTGCTCTGAGTCAAACTCCGTTAAACCTGTGTCCTGCCACTGTGTATGCCTGTACCCTTCTCCCCATTTCCTCACCTGCTGTTGAACTTCTCAGGATATTTCTCTCGCATAATGTGGAATCGGTGAGCAATAGAGGCATCCTAGGGAGTTGAGGTCATGCAGGGTCAGAGGCCTGCCTCTCTCTCAGCAAAAAACCCAACCCTCTCTTTGACTCCCCATTGTGGGAGCAGTTTGCTGTAAGTTCCTTTCTCACCACCCACACTGAACCCTCATCCTTGATTTCCCAGTGACACAGTTCCCCTAACTCTGCCTTCCCTTTCTTCCCTCCTCTGGCTTCTGTCTGCTTAGCCCCCATTTCCCCCTATGTCCCATTCCACTGACCACACCGATGGAGAAGTAGTTATTGATGATCTGAAAGGGGACTGGGTCACTCTTTTCTTCAGTTTGTTGGGGTATCACCTCCACGGACCATCGATCCATATGTACCACCTTACTCATCTCTAAGTCCTTTAGGATCTTTCCCAAATTCTGTCCCTCATATCCTAGGATTGGGGATAAGACAAGTTAGCCTTGAGCACCATGACTCCTCTTAGTTCCCAGTTCCACAAATGCCCAGGGATCCTGTTTTCTGGTTCTGCAGACCCCCTCAGTCTTCGCCAGTAAAAGAGAAGGGTGTTCAGTCATGGCTTCCATAGGCCAATGTTAAGGTCATCCCCTTCTGTACTCATTACTCCACATAGTTACAGAGAGCTAATGTTCCCATTGGAAATGCATATCTAAACATGACACCAAAGTCTGTCTGGAGGATTGAAGGAAATACTTAGGAAAATGATGGAAAAGATGAATAATGAATGGGGACAATCTCTTTCTCTCTCTCTAGTTCACACTCTTAGACTCTTTCTGTGCACATCCTACCAACAGAACATACTATAAAACATCATTTAACCAAGTGTGATCCTGTCACAGTGACTTGAATAAAGAGTTTAATGGTAAAGAAGAGGACACCTAGAAATATTCACATACATCTAAGAATTTATATGATAATATTTCAAATAAACAGAGAAAAGACAGATAATAGAAGAATCAGAATTAGACATAAGATCCACTCATATTAAAATAAATTCAAGATGGGTCAAGTAATTTAAATGTAAAAAACCCAGAATTTGTACTAGAAAAAAGAGCAAAAGTTTATACAATCTTTGTGTGAAGACCTTTCTAAAGCATAATATAAAACTAAAATATTGCACACCCATGTTTACTGTGGCTTTGTTCACAATAACAAAAATTGGAAACAACGTAGGTGCCCATCAACAAATGAATGGATAGAGAAGCTGTGGTATATTCACACAATGGACTACTACGCTGCACTGAAAAACAAGGAACTCAGTAAATATTATACAAAATAGGTGACCCTGGAGGACATTATGCTGAGTAAAATATCTCAGCCACAAAAGGACAAATACTGCATAGAGCCACTGTTGTAAAACGGGACTGATATTGGGATTGGGGGAAGACTGAGAAAGAGGGGATAAATTATGTATACTGCATTCAAACAGATGAGGGAGATAACTGTTTAAAAAGGATATAAAATTAGATATTATTGTCATGACAGGAGTCCAAAACAAAGGCAGCATAGTGGAGTGGACTTGGGGGGAGGGATTGTATAACAATGAAAGAATTTGTCTTTTACTTTTCAAAGAGAAGAGTGAAATTGGGGGGAGGGGTGGGCAGGAAGAAAAGTGCAACAATGAATGAATGGAAATCCAAAGTCTCTGTAAACTTTCATTAAAATGAATAAAAAAATTAAAAATTGAAAAACAAAACAAAACCCCCTAGTATACAAGAGAGAAAAGACTGCTAAACATAATTATATTAAAATGAAAACTTATGTATGGTTAAATAAACAATACTTTTTTTAAAAAAAAGGGTAAAAGAAAAACCAGGGGAAAATACCAAAAGCAACTATAACAGACTTACTTTCCTAGCATTTAAAAAAATGCTTGTAAGTCATTATATTAAAAATTATTAGAAAAATGCAGACTGGGAAAAAGTATTTGGCAATGACATATCAGATAAGGGACTTATATCTGGAATTTATAAAGTACTTGAGCACCACAATAAGATAAAGGAAAATAATCCAATTGAAAAATGGGCACAGGATATGAATAGACACTTCACCAAAGAAGACATTCAGATGGCCAAAAAGCACATGAAGAAACATTCAAAATCCCTAGCTCTAAGAGAGATGCAAATCAAAACAACTATGAGATATCATCTCACCCTAGTAAGAATAGCAAAATTTAACAGAACAGCAAGCAACAAATGCTGGCGAGGTTGTGGAGAGACTGGAACCCTGATTCACTGTTGGTGGGAGTGTAAAATGGTGCAACCCCTGTGGAAAAAAGTATGGCACTGTCTCAAAAAGTTGCAAATAGAGATACCATTTGACCCAGCAATCCCACTACTGGGAATATACCCCAGAGAGACCATAACTGCCATCCAAGCAGATATATGCACACCCATGTTTATTGCGGCTTTGTTCACAATAGCAAAGAGCTGGAAGCAACCTAGGTGCCCATCAACAAACGAATGGACAGAGAAGCTGTGGTATAGTCACACAATGGAATACTACGCTGCATTGAAAAACAAAGAACTCATGCAATATTATTCAAAATGGGTGACCCTGGAGGACATTATGCAGAGTGAAATATCTCAGTCACAAAAGGACAAATACTGCACGTTGCCCCTGTTGTAGAATGGTACTGACATCAGGGTTGGGGTAAGACTGAGAAAAAACTGGATAAATTATGTATACTGTATTGAAACAGATAAGGGAAAGAACAGATTAAAGGCAATATATGATTGGGTATTATGGTTAGCACAGGAGTCTAGAATTAAGGTTGCATAGATAAGTGTACTTGGTGCGGGGTGGGGGTTAGGGGGTTGGGGGAATTATAATACCAATGAAGGAATTTTTTTTTCTTTTCAAGGAGAGGAGCGAACTGGAGGGGAGGGGTGAGCAGGGAGAAAAGTGCAGCAATGAATGAATGAATGGAAATCCAAAATCTCTGTAAATGTTCATTAAAATTAATAAAAAAATAAAAACAAACAAACAATTATTAGAAAAATGGATAAATAATACCAGCCAGTCACAGAAGAAATGCAAATGATCAATAGGCATATGAGAGAGTCTCACTGCTATTAATAATTAAAACAGTTAACTTTTTTCCCCTCCAATTTTTTTTTTCTAAAACAGTTAATTATTTGTTGCCTATTTATTGGACAAAGCATAAAGAAATCATAAAATACAAGAGGTAATAAAGTTATGAATAAAGGGCCACTCTCATATGTTGTTAATTGAGGCATAAGGCCATAGCTTACTTTTGGAAAGACAATATGACAATTTTATAAAAATTTTAAAAATTTTATCAAAACATCATGTGACCCAGAATTTCCATTTTGGGGAATTTCTCCTATAGAAACTAACACATATGTATGGAGATGTATATAAAAGAATGTTTGCTGAGATACTGTTTGTATTAGCAAGAAATTAGAAACTATCTAAATGTCTATGTTGTTGTTGTTGTTACATACCGTTGAGTCACCTGTGACTCAATAGCGACCCCATGTACAACAGCCCTAAACCCTGATCTATCCCTTGCCAATCTTATTGCCTCTGACACAGCTACCCTTACTCCAGTGACTGAAGCAATCCATCTCATCAAGGGTCTTTCTCTCCTGCGCAGTCCCTCCACTCTCTCAAGTATGACATCTCTCTCCAAGGACTGATCCCTCCTTGCAACATGTCCAAAGTATGTCAGACAAAGCTTCAGAATCCTTGACTCCAAGGAGGAGCCTGAATGAACTAGTTTGAACTAGCAGTCCTTGGTATATTCAATACTCTTCTCCAGCACCACAGCTCAGAGGCATAAATTCTCCTTCTATCACCCCTAGTCATTGTTCACTTTTATGATGCATAATTTGCAACTAATTGCAAAGACCATGGCCTGTTTTAGGTGCACCTTAGTCTCCAGACTGACATTGTTGCTCTTCAGTACTTTGGAGAGGTCTCTGATAGCAGGCTTTCCCAAGGTAACTTGTCTTTTAATTTCCTGGCTCTTGGTACCAAGAGTGTTGATTGTAGAGCCAAGAAAATTGAAGCTGTCAACAATCTCAATCTCTTCATCATCATGATGCTGCCAATCAGACCAGTGGTGAGAATCTTTGTTTTCTTGATGTTGAGCTTCAATCCATATTGACGGTTGCAATCCTTGACCTTTTGCAGCAAATGCTTCAGGTCCTCCTTAGTTTCAGCAAGCATAGCGCAGGTTGTTGATGAGTCTACCTCCAATCCTGATGCCACACTTCTCATGGAACCCAGCCTCCCGGATAATCTGTTCCACATATAGATTGAAAAGACAGGGAGATAGGAAACATCCTTGATGCACACCCTTCCATACAGTGTTTCTTTGTTCTGTTCTTAGTACATCCTCCTGGTCCAAGTATAGGTTTTGCATAAGCACAATCAAGTGTTCTGGGATTCCCATTCTTCTTAGAGTCAGCCACAGTTTGTTGTGATACACACAGTCAAATGCCTCTGCATAGTCAATTAAACACAGATAGACATTCCTCTGGTGTTCTCTGCTTTCAGCCAAGATTCATTTGACATTAGCTATAATATCCCTAGTGCCATGGCCTCTTCTAAATCCTTTAGTATGGAACAACTAATAGTAAGTTCTTAATATCATTTAAAATGTTGTGTGCTACTGAACACAGAGTGAAATAAATCTATTTGCATTTATTAACAAGGAAAGAGACATAAATAATTCTATTTAAAAAATAAGTCCCAGGACAAGCTGTGTGATATGATTCCACTTATACTTTTAAAAAAGCACTGTATGTGTGTGCTAATATATGTTAAAAATAGAAAAGTGAGTGCAAATAGCGCTTATCTTTGAGGAGGTGTATGGGGAACAGCTGGTGGGGAACAGAAAAGAAGAGACTTATATACTTGACTTAAATATTTTACAGTAAAAAAGGTAATGTATTGTTTGTGTAACTTTTTAAAAAAGAATAAAATTATTAGTCAAAGGTATGCATACACTTTGAAGTAGCAATTCCACTTCTGACAATCTCCTGCAGAAATTTTTAGATGTGTTCAGAGACAGATGTAGGAAGGTGTTCACTACAACGTGGTTTGTGATAGTAAAATTCTGAATGCTACTCAAACATCCATCAATAGAGGGCTGGTTAAATTATGACATATTCACACAGCGGAATACCAATCATTCCAAATAAGAGTGACGCAAACCCAATTGCATTAAAATATGATGGCAACAAAGAGGAATTGTTTAGGTTTGGTGTGGGTTTGATTTTTTTTAATCAACCTATAAAATTACTTTATCATTGTTTAAATATAATTAATTCATCATTGTTTAAATATATATGTATCTAGAAAGAAAACTGGAGAAACAGATACCAAAATATTAGGGAATGGATTAAAAATAAATTTAATTTTCTTGGAATTTATATTTTGGATTTTTTTTTTAAAAATAAGAAGCGTATGTTTGTAATTAGGAAAAGAAAAGATTAAAATATTAGTTTCTACCTCTTTACTTTGGGCACATGGCCAGGAGAGACCGATCCTTGGAGAAGGACATCATTCTCGGAAGGGTAGAAGGACAGCACAGGAGAGGGAGACCCCGGATGAGACAGACTGATACAGTAACTGGGACAACGAAAGTTGGTGTGTCAGAATTAATGAGACTGACTCAACACAAGAAAGTGTTCAGAGTGGCTTTGCATCGGGTCGCTATGGGTCATAGGCAACTTGAGGCATATAACAACAACCACAACAACCTCTTTACATTCCACTAATGAAGGACTTAGTCACTGTTATTTGCCTCTCATCCCTACTACTACAGAGGAGAGTGCTAATGATGTATTCCAAAGTGAATTGTGCTGCCTTGTGATTTACAGCCTTAGAAACCCATTGCCATTAAGGAGATTCTCAATCACAGTGATCCCTATATTTCCAGGGATGTAATACTAATGGGAAGAACTGCCCATCTTTCTCTTTCTGAGCTATTTGTGGATTTGAACCACAAAAGATACATGCCTTTTGATTAGCAGTACCACATGACACAGGCTCTACCACCACAGCTCCTTTTCCAACTATTTCTAGCAAACTCCTCCTTTCCATCACCTCTGGTGAGGTCTCAGAGATGGGCTCTGAAGATACTTCAAATCTGGTCCTAACTCGTACCTCTTTTTCTGACAACATCATCCCTCAAACTTTCTCCTTTGAAGAGGCAAGGAGATTTGAAATGAGTGACCAGTTAAGACTATTGTTATAGGTCCAGAAAAATAAATGAATGAATAACCACTTGACTAATTGGGTGAATGAATAAATGAGTCATGGAAGATCTCCACTATCTTCATCACCCAGCATCTGACTTGACTCACATACAATCTTCCTAATTTCTGTAATTGTTTTACTCCCTTATTATGAATTAAATTTTGTCCCCTAAAATATATTATAAATCCTAACTCTTACACTTGGGGGCATAATCCCACTTGGGAATGGGTTCTGTTATGTTAGTCAGGAAGTATTAGCATAACACAACTCAGCTCATTAATGGTACCAACTCATAGCTGAACCTTCATTGAGTTTCTGAGGCTGCAAATAGAATGGAAGGAGAGTACTCAGTTTTCCCCCAGGGAGCGTTTGGAGAATTGAAACAGCCTGAGAGGTGCAGCTTTTCAGTTAGCAGCCCAGCTCTCTATGGACTATGCTACAGAGGTGTGCAAGGTATATTTTAAATCAATCTCTTTTACAATATAAAAGAGCAGTTATACAAGGGAGCAAACAAGCAGAGATGGGGGAACATGGATACATGACGATCACAATCATCACCAAAGAAGAGAAGCTGCAAAGGGACAAGGACTTTCACCCAGAACCCACACAGAGAATGCCTTCTTCTAATAGCCTTCGAGAGCCAGTTCTCCAAAGTCAACTTATAGTCTTCTAAACTGTCAGGAAATACACTTCTGTTTTTTTAAAGTGGGATTTCTGATATTTTTAGTAGACTGATGAGAGTAGGAAAATAGAAGTATATCTTAAAGTAGTAGAAATATCATATACATGCCTTTGATTCAAGACAGTGAGTTAGCTTTTGAAGAGAAGGATGACTTGAAAAAGGAGGTCTTGAGGCAAATAACCAATTATTCAACATTCTGGTGTAAAGTGTAACACCTGAAACAGGCCATTTTCTATTATAACTTCTCTGTACTGCAAGTTATATGAGTAATCATGAAGTAAATAAAGTACTAACACACACACACACACACACACACACACAAATAAAGTGGGATTTCTATCAGTCACTCTGGAATGCAGTATGACACTTTCTAAAAATGTTGGAAATAGAAATGACCCAGCAATTCCATTACTGGGAATATACCCTAAAGAAACCAGAACTGTCACCCAAGCAGATAGATGCACACCCATGTTTACTGCTGTGTTGTTCACAATAGCAAAGAGATGGAAACAACCCAAGTGCCCATTAACAAATGATTGGATAGAGAAGCTGTGGTATATTTACACAATGGAATGCTATGCAGCACTGAAAAAAGGAGCTCATGAAATAGGTGACCCTGAAGGACACTATGCTCAGTGAAATATCTCAGTCAAAAAAGGACAAATATTGCATAATATCACTGTTATAAAACAGGACTGACATCGTGGCTAAGGGAAAACTAAGAAAAGAAATGATAAATAATGTACATTGCATTGAAACAGAGGAGGGAAAGAACTGCTTAAAAGGAATAAATACATGATTAGGTATTATTTGCATGACAACAGTCCAGAATAAGAGCTGCATAGTAAAGTGGACTGAGGTGTGTGTGGGGAGAAATTGTACAATGAAAGAATTTTTTTTCAAAGAGAAAAGCAAACTGGAGGGGTAGGCAGGGAGGAAAATGTACAACAATGAATGAATGGAAATTCAAGTTCTATTAGACTTTCATTAAAACCTCAAAAAAATTTTTAAAAAGTAGCATTTCTATAAAAACAGCACTAGACAACTAAATTACCCCTCATATTACTGGCTTTTTCTGTTCATTGGTTACAAAATAAAGATATTTGTAGGTTTATCAGGAAGAATACCGTCCTTTGATGATTCTAGGTTCCGATTATTTTGCCCCCGGTTCTAGAAAAAAAACCAGCAGAGAAGATCTGCTGCTAGCATCCACCTATCTGTCCCTCTCTTCTTTTCAAGCACTTTCTGCACCAGACTTCTATTCTTCTCTTTGGGCCTTGTCCTTCCTATCTGACTTCCCTTAATCCCAGCAAAACAATCTCTAGCCACTTACCTCCTCCCCATCTTAGGCAACGAGCCAGATCATTTCCAGTACCCAGGGGCAACACTGCCACAGGAGGCACAACAGATAAGTTGGCTTTGTCTGAGGAAACAGGTAAGAAGATGGATGGAGGGAGTCTGCCTGGGAAGGCCGCTACCCCAGTCTCCTTGCGGGAATCTCTTCCTGCACTGACCAATGGTCTCTAGAATCCAGCCTACTGTGCCGTCTCCACCACACACCAAAATCCGGCAATCAGCAACATCTTTGAAGAATTTGAGCCTGGGATAAAAAGCGTGAAAGAAAATGAGCAAGACTAGAACCAAGGCTATTCAACTCGTGTACAGCCAGATTCATTCTTGCCTCTCATCCCTTACAACTTCCTTCTCATTTGTCAAAAAACTTAAGTTTCTCTTTTTTAAACATGAATTTCTATTATTAATAGAGATAAGAACAATGGTGAAAGTCACAACAACTCTTCCAAGTTTGGGGAAAGAACTACTATCTATATCCTTCAAGAACAGAATAAGGTTACCTCTTTGAGCTCAAGGGCAGGATTTGCAGTGAAACTAAGGAAATAAGTATTCTGGATTCTTGCTTCTGGCGTCTCCTAGGGCTTCCTTCCCCACATACATTCTTTCCTGCTCTCTCCTAACATACAGGCACACAGTTATTCTGATACAGTTCCTAATCTATACTCACCCTGGCTCAGGACCATCCTTTTGGAGGTTGAACACCTGTCTAGGATTTAGTAGATACTGGAACTTCCAAAGCACCCTGTGTGAAGAAAACAATGAAAAAGCTCTTGGGCAAATTATTCCATGACCCACCATCTTGATGTCTCCTCAAGGTGTGCCCCTTCCATACAACCCGTATAGGCCCACTCTTTCCATTTTAAGAAGATATATCTTCTCCTTACCTCTCTCCCTGTCTCCCGCCACTTTTAGGATTGACAAAGACAAGAAGTGGATGGGTATTGGAAACAGGATCAATCTATATTGGAGTAAGAAAACAAAATATAAGGAAAGGAGGATTTTGACATAGTTAAAATGGGCATTGGTGACAAAGTCAAGGGACTGGCATCCCACAAAGATGCTTTTCCCTCCTCCCCTTGTCTCTCTCCTCTCTTTCTCCACCAGGACAGGGCTTCTGTTATCCTCACAGACGTCCCCAACTCATTCCCTTCCTTGAGGGCTCATTGAAACACTAGCCCCCACCAAGAAGCCCAAGCCTCTCAGCCCTGTACCCGCAGAGCCTCAGAAGTGCCTGAATTTAAGTCTTCCACGCTCTTCTGGCTTGTTTTGCTACTTTTACGATCTGGTCCAGAGGCCTAGGTGGGGAAGAAAGCAAAGGGAAGGAATGGTATGTGCATCCCTAAACAGATGAGAGTCTGATAGGAATCCTAAAAATACAGGTACTCTATTCAACTAGGGTGCTCCTTAGAGACAAGGATGATGAAACTGTCTCATGTTGCATGTCACCCTTGCACAGAGACCATGCTAATCTCTGTATCGTTCCAATTTTAGTATATGTGCTGCTGAAGCCAGCACTGTCTCATATACTTTGGACATGTCATGATGGACAAATCCTTGGAGAAGGACATCATGCAGGTAAAGCTAATTGTCACTGTGTGCCATTGAGTCGGAACTGACCCATAGCTAGCCTTCCAGCAGGTTTTTTTGAGATGGTTAATTGCATGGGAGGAGACTGCCCATCCTTCTCCCCTGTAGTGGCTAGTAGATTTGAATGACATGGCTTTGGGATTGCAGCACAGTTTCTTCCCACTAGGACACCAGAGCTCCCTAGAAAAGCTAGAGAGCTGGTGAAAAAGAGGAAGACCCTCAACAAGATGGAATGACACAGTGACTGTACCAATGGATTCGAGCGTATCAGAGATGGTGAGATGACACAGGATAGGGTAGAGTCCAGATCTCTCGTTCACAGAGTTGCTATGAGACCTAGTCAATTTTACACCATCCAACAACAGTAACTATTCTAAATTGCATTATTTCATTTTAATTGGGAGACACTTATGCTATTATCCCCCGTGCCCCAACTGCTGTCCAATAATTACCAGGACGCTGGGGTAGATGGAAGATGGAGGGAGGATGTGATCACGAAATAGCCCACAGTCACATTCATTGCCTACAGCTTGCAAGCAATCATCATGGATCTGAAAGACAAGATGGATACAGAGAGGACCTCTCCATCTCTCAATGCAAATGTCTAGTCTTGGAAAGGGAGCAATTGGAAGCAGGGGCTGCTGTGGTGAAGGAAGAAAACAGAAAAGTGGCCGATGTGTGGAGAGGATATCCTGGGGAAGGAAGGCAAAAAAGAAAAGCAAAGTGAGCAAAGGGTTGACCTAAAGAATAGTTCCCAGGGGAGCTCTGGTGGCCTAGTGGCAAGAAGCTGCACTGCAATCCCAGAGATAGGTGATTCGAATCCACCAGATGCTCCGCCAGAGAAGAAGGGGCCATCTCCTCCTGTACCAGTCAGATCTAATTTGACAGTACACACAAAAAAAAGAATAGTTCCCGAACTGACCTCTAGGTGACACCATACACAGTGCAAGCCAGTCAGGCTGTGGTAGGTCCGGATCTTTTTCTGACAACGGTCGCAGCGCCCAGATACACAGCCTCCTCTCACCCACACATGTGACTGGACCTTTTGTAGAGAAAAGCCATCTCGTTTCTTGGCAGATCTCAGCCGAGACTAGAGGAAGGATGGGCTGGGGCGGCCAAGGGCCAGGCACAGGACAGAGGAGGTGTTAGGTGAGAGCAGAATCACTCACACCAATGTCCTTCCGAGACTTGGCATAGGTGCTGACTTCACAAGGCATGGCCTTCATGGCGCACCGGTCGTGAACGATGTACTTACAGACTGTGTGAGAGGCAAGAAGGTCAGAGCCTAGGCTTCTCCACTTCCTTTTCCCTTCTCCCTGACTTGGGGGCGAGATTCTATGGGGAGGGAAGGTCATAATCCCTTGCTGTTATGACAGGGTAGAAAAAAGAGAGTTTTTTGAGGAGACTCACTGCAAAATCTATTCCTGTTCTCCTTGAAAAAGAAACTTCTATCCTTTACCCGCCCACCAGGGAGGCCCAGATATGATTATAGTATTATTAGCCCATTTTGACACAAAGTTAATAGTACATGCGTTTGAAGTGCATTTTTGTTTTTTTGTTTGTTTTTTGAAGTGCATTTGAAGCACTTTTCTTGTTTACTTACTGACTTATTCTTTTTTTTTTTTTTTTTTTTTTTTTTTTTTTTTTATTATTATTTTTTGTGTGTGTGCGTGTACCGTCAAATCAGATCTGACTGGTACAGGAGGATATTGCGCCTCCTTCTCCGGCAGAGCATCTGGTGGATTCGAACCGTGTTCCTCTGGGATTGTAGTGCAGCTTCTTGCCACTAGGCCACCAGAGCTCCCCAACTGACTTATTCTTAAGTGCACAATTAACTCACAGGTGAGGAAGTTGATGCTTAAAGAACTTGCCCAAGTCAGTGGCAGAGGCCAGGATTCAAATCCAGGTCTATCTATGTTCGAAACTCAACGTGCCCACAGAATAGCTGAGCTGTCCCACCGCTCCCACACTGCAAGGCTCCATCACTCACGGTTACAGCTCAGCCCCTGTTTGCCAAGACTAATGCTCGCCTCGCACAAGTTGCAGTAGACGGGTCGGGAGAACCTCTTGGGTCTCCACATGTGTTGTCCGTTATCCTTCAGGGTCTAGGAGGGCATGGCAGGTGTTGAGAAAACAAATCTCTGACAAGTATGGCCTAAGACAGCCATCTTAACCATCCTTACAAGTCTCTTCTACTCACCATCTCCAGACCCAGCAGCACTAGCAAAGGTACAGTAGTAGCCCCAGCCCGGAGCCACTCAGTCAGAGACACGGAGCCGCTGCCATCAAAGTCAATCTCTTTCATCATCTGCTGAAGAATCTGAGCAGAGAATGGTGAAGAGGTTTTGATGTGGGTTCTCTCTCAGATCCAATAAGTCTCCACTGCTCCCTAGGACACCAAATCTAGCTATGCTAGCTGAGATAGTAGGGTACGTGTCAGAGACAGGGTTGAGACAGAAGGTACGAAGGAAGAACCGCCTTACCGGCTTCAACTCAGACACATCCCAATCCAGATACTCAGCCACTCGCATCATCTGTGAGATGATTTTCTCCACTTCCTGGGGGCAAAGAGGGTAAGAGCCACAGCCAAAATCCTCTCCAGAAATCAAGGTTCCCAGGTCCTACCCCTAAATCCACTTGTCATTCTCAGATATCTCTGCCAAATAAGTGTCTATAAATATGTGGATGTCTGCAAGGTAGTCTCCAAGTCATGTTTGCAGACTCTTATTTTCAGAATCAAAAGCTGGGGACCTACTCCCAAATTAGATCCTAGAGGACGCAATCTCTCCCCTAGCTTTATCTACTTAAGATCCTAGAAGAGTTGGACCACGAGGTCACAGACAAACGGACGCATACTCCCTTGCCCAACATACAGATTCCCTACTCACTGAGGTGTCCAGGATTCCATTTCTGTCCGTGTCATACAGCTTGAAGGTGACTGTGGGGACATTTTAAGGGGGCCAGTGTCAATTTGTAACATTTACAAAGAGAGAGGGTGCTAAGTTTTTGGGTGAAGAATTTGGAGCTTGGGACTGAGAAAAGGAACTAAAAGGAAGGAGAAACAGACCTGTATTCCACCCTGGGGTGACTCTGATAGGGTAGACAGCACACACCTCCTACATCCCAAAAATATTGCTGGTCACCCACATGAGACAAGGCATGAGAACTTGTATGGGTGTAATGGATGGAACTAGGTATAAAGAGTTTAGGGCAACAGAAGAAATGAGCTTATTCTCTGGTTCCACCTTTGTTGAGCCCTGTCAGCCTTTAGAAACCCTGAGAAAATGAGGGAAGAGAGGCTGGAGATTGCTCCTCTCTCCTTTCACTTTCCCTTTCCTCCCATCTTTCAGCCCAGACACACACCCTGGCAACTCACATTCTAGCTTGTCTTCTGGCTGACCACCCTCCAGAAGGGAAAAGTAGCAGGAGACATCACTGAGACACACCACATCTGGTTATAAAAGAATATAGCAGAGCTAGGATTGTGAGCCTCCATTCACTGGCTCTTCTCTCTCTGCTTATCTTTTCATTGTCCAGCTCTCACCTCCTAGACCAGACTAGTCCTCTTACAGTCTTCTCAGCTGACCCTGCTCCCCACATGTGACTTAATTCAAGCCTCACCCAAAAGTCACATTAGTTTAATTTTCCTTCTGGAAGCCCAGCCCATTCCCAATTATGTGACCATACCTTCATCTATAACCTCTGATACAGTGTGTTCAGTTTGGAAGGATCGGAACAGAGCCAGGCTCAGGTTTTCAGGCACATCATCAATTTCTAGGTAGATTTTCAGGAATTCCCGGAATCCCAAATACCCAATGGCCTAGATAAGAGGAAGCATTATCCTGGGGACATCTTCAAGGTTGGAAACTAAAGAATTGGGAGTGTCAGGACAGGACAATAACTGCACAGCTGTGAAGCATCTGAGGCAGGAGCATTGTTTGTTGGGCTAGGTTTTCAGTTAACAGAATCCCC